GCTGTTGATGCTCTGGTTCTGGCTGCTGTTGTTCTGGGGCCTGGCCGTTGCTGCTCCGGGTCTGGCTGCCACTGCCTTGTGCCTGGCCACTCTAGGCCTGGCCGTCGCTGTTCCAACATTCTGTCCTTTTTTTTTCTTTTTAAAACGCATTTATGTTGCAATGTTGGCTGGTGAGTTGAGTTCTGACTTAGTCTTTGATTTTTCAAGATCTTCTTTATATTCTTTCTTAAGTAATTTTACTATTGTTTGCTCTCACTTGATTTCTTCACATTGAGAACTTCTTTGGTTTCTTCCTCCTTGTCCTGGGAGCTCAGCAGGTTGGCCTGTGGCACCCCTTTGTTCTCCGCGGGCTCCTGTGCTGCTTCAGCCTGTTGCCGGGGAAGGCGCAGCCCAGGAAGCAGCCCCCGGCCTTGGCTCCATTGCCCGAGCTCAGTGGTCAAAGGCTCAGGGGCACTCACGCCCCCAGGGGCCCCGTGGCCCGCCTCCTTGCTGGTGCCCGGTTGGCTGGAGTCTGGCAGGGGCTTCCGCTCCCCTCCGTGTTCCCCCAGCCTAGAGCTTTTTTTTTTTTCTCCTTCCCGCTAGGGAAGTCCAGCATCAGAGTCAACAGACTGTCCTCTGCGCGCAGTTTGCGCGAGTCCCACAGACTGTCCTCTGCGCGCAGTTTGCGCGAGTCCCGGGGGCCCGGCCTTTCGCTGCTCTCCCCGGACTCCACCTCACAGCCCCGTCTCCCTCTGCCTGAGCCTGGGTCCCCAGGGATTGTCCCAGAACTGGGGTTCGGAGCAGTCCGGACTGAGGCTCAGCGCCGCCGGAGGCCTTGTTTCTTCCGGCTAGGGCAACCCAGCATCAGAGTCAACATTCAGTCCTCTGCGCGCATTGCGCGCGACTCCCGGGGCCCTGCTTTTCGCCGTTTTTCCGCCTCACGGCCCTGTCTCCTCCCGCCGGAGCCTGGGTCCCCAGGGTCTGGCCCATAACTGGGGCTCAGCGCTGCCGGTTCGGGGGGGCTCAGCGCTGCCGGTTCGGGGGTTCAGCCCAGGGTGGAGGTTTTATTTCCTTCCTGCTAGGGAAGGAAAGGCGGCTCCCCGCCCTCTCCTCCTCTCTGGCTGCGACCTCTCCATGCGCGCGTGCGGGCGGGCAGGCGCGCGCAGCATGTCTCCGTACCTTAGGCTTTTTTTCAGCTCCTCTGATTTTCTTTCTGGTTTTCTCTTTCCTTCTTGTTGTAGAAATTTCATTCAGTCGACTACCTGTAGCTCTGGGCAATGTCCACTCTACATTTTAGTTGTATTCCATTGAAATTGTTGTGTGCTGCCGCGGCTAGATGTCTACCCGAGCAGCCATCTTGGATCCTCCTCTCAAGTCTTTGTCTCCCTGGGGATTTTTAAAATCCTCTCATTACCTTATCAATGAAAAAAGCAAGTTCATTTTATTTGACTTCAGAAAAAAGACATCATCAGGCTGGCCTGGGAATAACACATGCGGAATTGAAGACAGTAGTATAATTAAGTTCACAAAAGGCCCATTCATATGGCCCTATTTCAGATCTTCATAATGCCTTCTCATCCATTCTACCAAGTGACTTCAGAGTGGAGAAAAATATAGTGGATTCTTCTGAGATATTCAATTAGTTCAGTAAAAAGAAAAAAAAAAATTTCAATAAAGAAATTCAACCAAATGACTAAAGCTGACATTGGGTAACCAAGTTCAAAGTAATTATGCATTTCCTTTGAGTTCTTGCTCTAACAAAAGATTATATGCCACCATTAGAAATAGCATTCCTCCTGATAATTAATTACATCTGTGTTCCTATCTTAGCAGACATGTATCTGCATGTTTGCTCTGGAACTGTCTTCAGGGGTTGATATATGTGAAGTCTCACCAGCCCCACTAGACAATATCTGTTCTCACTGCTTCACAGTGAGCTTCCTACAAGCGGGTTTCTTCCCCCCTAACTAATGGAAGACCTCTCCCAAAAAGTCACCCACAACATGCTCCTTGCAAGATCCCATTGCTTCTCTTTAATCCTTATCCTTTTGGGCATCATAACACATCGCCTCATCTTCCAGTTCATCTCTCCCGTCTCCTGCAAACTGTCTTCTGCTCTTTAAACTCAGGGCGTTCCATCTACACCCCTCTCTCATTCTGCACTTTCACCTAATTTGCTAGAAACATTTCAAAGGTATCTGTGTTGACAATGCCCCCATTGCCAACCCAGCCCTGGCATTTCCTCTAAGCTCTGTGCACCTGCACATGTTGCACTGAATACGGGGTTTATTAGCACCACCAAATCTGAACTGTCTTTCCACTCCCCACTACCTTCCGCGCTTCTTCTGGCGCCTCACCAAGAAGAGACATTTCTTTCCTGCTCAAACCACCCACATCATGACGCCATCCATTGCTGGGCTCCAATGTCCAGCATCGCCTGTCAATACCGCTGTGTGTTTCTAAAAGTGAGTCAGGTCAGGTGTTTCACTGTCTTTCTGAAGACCCTCTGGTGGAACTTGTCAAGATAGTCAAGGCCCCATGCCCCACAGGACATCTCCTGCCTCATCCCCTTGCCATGCTCGCAGACAGCAGGGGACAGCCATGGTGTCTGACAACCTTGCCTGAATCCACACAGGCCAGGAGCGCAGGGTGAGCCTCGGCCAATTTGAGTGTCAGCAGAATGCCTCATGATCCTCCCAGCACTGTGGGCGCGGGAGGCTTGTGAGGATCTGCTATGGTCCACTTCTCATTGGCCTCCCTAATCCCTTGTGAAGACAGTTTCTCCTCATCTTCCAGGTACTGATGAGGGGCAAGGCTTTCTGCCCAAACCTCTTAGGGGGCAGCTGCAGACAGTAAAACCCCTGAGAGGCAGCTTGAAATTGTCTCCTCAGCCCCAAGGTCTCCCTTCATCTATGATGCAGCCAGCTGCCCCCTGGGGTCTGGGCCTCACCTGCACACAGGCCATCTTCGCCTGCTCATCCTTTGACTGTCCCTGTAAGTGATAAGCTGCCTGAGTCTGAAAAGGACTCAATGTTTCTTCACCAACAGAACCTGTCCGAGCCGGCCTGGCCTTGCGCTGGACACCCAGGCTCTGAGCTCAGATATTCACTACCTTCTGCCCAATGTGATCTAGAACTTGAATCAAATTGAATGTGCTCTTCAAGGGAAAAGAAAAACATGGGAGGAGATAAAATAAAATTAAGCTTGTAAATCTAGTTCAGTGCAAGTGAGGCTAGGAAAAATAGAATGGGGCCAGACATTAGGTCAGTGCCCGTGCATAAAATTAGAGCACAGTCCTTTCAGAGGCACAGCAAATCCTTTTGGAATAAGGCAAATCCATACACTTACTAGCTATAGTGAGGGCAGATGTGGCTCTAACTTCCCTCACAGAAAATTTGGACTGTTAATGGATGCTTTGTCCCAAGAGCCAACCTCTAATTAATAGATGATTAAAGGTGAATTTAAAGAAAGGTAAATGAGATCATGCTGAGTCATACCAAGATTAAACAGCCTTTTCTTTAGGTGAATTTATGAGGGCTTCCTTTCTTTAAAAAATTATATATATATATATATATATATATATATATATATATATATATATATATATATTTAAATTGACTTCAGAGAGGAAGGGGGAGGGAGAGAGAGAAACATCAATGATGAGAGAATCATTGACTGGCTGCCTCCTGCATGCCCCCTGCTGGGGATTGAGCCTGCAATATGGGCATATGCCCTTGACTGGAATTGAACCCAGGATCCTTCAGTTCACGGGTCAATACTCTAACCAGCTTGGGCAATAAGGCTTCTTAAAATAATGTTTCCTAAAGTAAAAATCATATAGTAGCTGAAATTTCTAAAAATGAAGCTTTATGTCTGAGACCCGAAGATTATGTTATAGCCAGCCTTTGGTTTTATTTCTCATAACTAACCCAGCTTCTCAGGCTGTCCTGTGCTGCCAGGACCCAATGGCACCATCACCCCAACCAGCCCCCATGGCACCGCCACCCTGGCCAGCTCAGCCACCCTGATCAACCCTCATGGCACCGTCACCCTGACCAGCCCTCATGGCACCGTCAGCCGGGCTAGCCCCTATGGCACCGTCACCCCGACCAGCCCCCATGGCACCATCACCCTGACCAGCCTTCATGGCACTGTCTGCCGGGCCAGCCCCTTTTTTCAGACCATTTTTTACTTACAGAAGAAAACCCTGGAAGGGCTCCCTCTGCAACCAACTACCCATTCAGTGTAGAGCTATTCCCCATAAAGCCTGGCCTTCTCTCCTGGGACCTCTACCTTCCTGTGCCACCAACATACAGGAATACTTGGGTCTCTATAATAATAAAAGTGTAATATGCTAATTAGACTGGGCAGCCAAAAGACCTTCCGGACGAAGCTGGGGCTTCGAGGGCCGAGGCAACCGCCACAGCTGTGAGGGCCGAGCCCCTTGAACAAATTTCGTGCATCAGGTCTCTAGTATTTAGAGAAAATGTTGAATTTTCTTAAATACATTTTTATTGACTTCAGAAAGGCAGGGAGAGAGAGAGAGGGGGGGGGAGAAATGTCAATGATGAAGAGAATCATTGATCGGCTGCCTCCTGTACAACCCACACTGGGGATCGAGCCTACAACCCGGGCATGTGCCCTGCCTGGGAATTGAACTGTGACTTCCTAGTTCATGGGTCAACGTTCAACCACTGAGCCACACCAGCCAGGCAAAAGGTTGAATTAGGAGCAAGGAATTGGCCCTTTGTTATCTCCATTATCAGAGTGACTTTCAGTGTGTTAATATGACTTGTGTGTTAGAAGCTCAGCGTTCTAAAGGTGAAGCCTGAAGAAAACTCAAAAGTCCTAATATGATGACAGGCTTGGAGACCACTAAGCTAGTTTATACAGATGTGTGAGCTCTTCCCTTTAGTCCTGTTTGAACCCCTTAATCACCCAGGTGTGTGGTGTGGGGGAAGTGCTGCCAGCGCTCCTCTGCATGTCAGCAGCTGCGCACTCACATGGCCCCTCTCCCCTAGGCGACCCGCCTGCCACCGGCACGGGGACTCTGCTGATCACCCTGGAGGACGTGAACGACAACGCGCCCTTCATCTACCCCACGGCGGCCGAGGTCTGCGACGACGCCAAAAACCTCAGCGTAGTCATTCTGGGAGCCTCAGATAAGGATCTGCACCCAAACACAGATCCTTTCAAATTTGAAATCTATAAGCAAGCTGTTCCTGATAAAGTCTGGAAGGTCTCCAAGATCAACAGTAAGTCAGCCGAGCGTGCCACACTTATTCTTGTGGCTTTAGCCTAGGGGCTCTGGCTCAGTTTCTTTTCCCAAACTGTTCCTCCTTTCCTCTCTCTCGTGTGTTTTCAGATGGTTTGTTTCAAGTTATTTATGCACTATAAATATTGATAATTTTCCCACCAGAAAATGAATACAGTATGTAAATATATTAAATATGAGTTCCTTATCATGCAAACATGAAAGTTTTCTCTATTGCATCCTCTGTTATCTTTTTTATACCTGACACAGCATGATCTCTGCCCTGTATGGACTGTACACTCTATGATGTGTATAGTATATGCTGTGTACACTACAACTTACACTGTACACTATATAGCACACCCTGTACTATACGTCTTACTGGGCACTGTATGCTATCCACGCTGTATTGTACACTCTGTACTATACACTATACTGCACACCGTCCACTCTATACTGTATATCAATATACTATACACTTTGTACCATATACTCTGTGCCTTATATCCTATACTGCACAGCCCTATACAGTACACACACCCAGTCTCCAGCTTTCAAGAGCCGGGGTCTCTGCTTCTACCTAAGCACATCTTGGCTCGGCTGTCTCTCCTCTCACGAATAACTGTACTTAACATTGACTTTCACCAGCACCCTGGAGAGATGTTTCCTAGTGAACTTGCTTTTATAAAAGACTAAGGAGAAGATGAGCACAGGTTTGGGTCTCCAGCTTCCATTTTATGCTGCAGGCCTCCTCAAAACTGACTTAGTCTTTATTATGACCTTGGCCTTTACTTTCAACTTTGATATCTTCTTTCATCTATCCTGTCCCTCATTTATGGGCACAGCATGTATCACCTGCCTTATTAAGTCTGAAACCCCAATATATTGAGTAATGAAGTACCCCTCTATCCACAATACCTCACCCACTTTCCTCCTTGCTAAGTTCACCTTGCCTGGAAATAAAGCCAAAAGCCAGAGCTCACGCCTTCGACATACACTCTGCCATCAGCAATGAATGGCTCCTGCCACTGACCCAGTCAGGGTTCCCTCTTCTTATTTTAGTGGTAGAACTTTCGAGAGAGATGGAAAATTGCCATTTCATTAAGTTCTGAATATGTATTGTACACTTGTGCATAAAATTTTCTATTAAAAATCTCGTATGTATTGTGATGGCCTTATCTCACATCTCATTTTATTACTGCCTTTCTCCTGTTATTGATTATAGTTGTCTGTTTGCCTATTTTATTGCTTTCTAAAGAACGAATTTTGTTACACTGATTATTTTTAATTAAAACAGCCCTTCTCTTGTTTGAGGGGTTACTGTTTTGTTTGCTAGTGTTTGCAGCTGCAGCAGATTTGAACAATCATCATCAGATCTTTCCAACTGGAACTTTCTCATTCAAGAGTTTCTCCTCTATTTGAGGGAGAGGGGGGGAATGTCCCATGAGTTAATCTGCCATTTCACCGGGGTAATTTTCTACCTTGGTTACATTGGCTCTGCCACCTAACCTTCTGGTTAGGATAATACTTCATCTGCTTTCCCTCCTGGTTTTATGTAATAGATAAAATGCCTTCTAACTTCTTTTTCTTGTCCCGAATTTTTTCCTCCAAATTCTTAGGATTTTCTATGCCCAGAAAGGGGCAGTTTAAAACAAACAAACAAAAAATCCTTAGTCATATGAAAAGGAATAGCCTGAGGCTAAAACAGGAGCCAGAGTGGCCACTCCTGAGGGCTGACCAGAGGCCTGGATAAGGGCAGGTATTCCCACCAACCGGGGCTTACAGACCCCATCTCCACATGTGGGCTGTGCAGTGGATTCCATTCAGATCCAGGGCTGTGGGCTCTGGGCTGAGAAAGACAACAGAACCCATCCCCCTGGCAACACACAGGCTCAAGCCCACATAGAGAGTGAGAGGACTTTTTGGGGGGGAATCCAAGAATTTATTTTGAGTACTTAAATTTGGATTTTTATACAAAATTTTCTAAACTGGTAATTTTTTTTTCTTCCAATTTTTTAAAGTATAATTGACAAATAAAAATCTATATATTAAAAGCCTAAGCAACTGGCCATCTGGCCAGTAGCTATGATGTGCACTGACCACCAGGGGGCAGACGCTCAATGCAGGAGCTGCCACGCTGCCTTCACTTGGCAGCGGTGGTTCTCAGGTGATGCATCTGGAAGCAGAGAAGAGGGAGCCCAATTCCGGGGTGTGTCACCCAAGAACCGCCCTCTCACAATCTGGAACCCCTCAGGTGATGTCAGAAAACTGGTCTCAGCCCAGTCCCCACAGGCCAGACCAAGGGACCCCACCAGGACACGAACATGTGTCCTGAGCCTCTAGTTGTATGTATTTAAAATGTACACTATGATCATTCAAAAATAGATTTTTACATTATTTTTTCTAGATATCGAATATGCTCTTTGTGAACATTGCTTTATTGGTATAATAAATTTGCACAAAGGGGTTCTTGCTACTCAGTCATTTCACAAAAGTGGATCTCCTTGAAATTGATTATAATAACACTGAAATATAGACCTCCTTTCATGATGGAAACGTTCTACCTGGGCTGCCAGTGTGGTAGCCACCAGCCATGTGTGGTTGCCAGGCACCTGAAGTGTGGCTGGTGCAATTGAACTGAATTGATATGTTTATCCAATGTTAATGAATTTAAATTTAAACGCCCGCCTGGTTAATAAACAAAATGCAATGCCTGTTTCGCATGTTCTCACTCTTTTCTTGGAAAGGCCTGACCCTCTTTCATGAAGGCCCCTTCTCTTCACAGACACGCATGCCCTGGTAAGCCTTCTTCAAAACCTGAACAAAGCAAACTACCAGCTGCCCATCATGGTGACAGATTCAGGGAAACCGCCCATGACGAACATCACAGACCTCAGGATACAAGTGTGTTCCTGCAAGAATTCCAAAGTGGACTGCAACGCCGCGGGGGCCCTGCACTTCAGCCTGACCTCAGTCCTGCTCATCTCCCTCTTCAGTTTAGCTTGTAAGTTTGCCTAACTCCAGTGCGTGCATACTAATGAAAATGTAATCAAAGCCTTTTTCCCACGTATCTTCAAAAAAGTTATCCCAAATCAAAGCTTTTTTCCCACATATCTTCAAAAAAGTTATCCCAGAGGAAATATTTGTTTTAGTTGATGTCTGTTTAATAGAGGGTGTTACATGTAAAAGTGCTCCAAGTAATGTCGAAAGGCATCTTACCATCCCCCTTGCTATGCTGCAGGACAGGTGGTGATGCTGCCTGTTGATGCCCCTGAACTTGAGCTAATACCAATATGCCTGGATTAGTTAACTGGTCCACCAGGGCCCCATTTCTCTCTACATTATGCTGAATAATCTTTCTCAAGGTTGAAGTAGATACTACAACTTTTTAAGATCATGAGAATTCATGGATGTCAGTGGGGCGGAAAAAAAGATAAATGTATAATTCACACATTATTCAAACATTATTTTAATGGAGCATTATTTTAAACAAATAAATTATTATACCTAGTAATATAGATATGAGCATAAAATGAATAGACATTACCTACTTATGGGATTCTAGTCCAGTTTTAATTTTAGCAATTATTTAGATACTAGAGGTCCAATGCATGGATTCATGCACTGAGAGGGGCATGGCCTGTGGGAATCAGCCCTCTGTGGGAGCACTGCTCATCCAGGTCAGCTGAGTGGTCTTCCCACTGTATTGAGCATCTGCCCCCTGGTGGTCAGTGCAGGTCATAGTGACTGGTCAACCAATTGTCCTGGTCATTCTGCCATTAGGTTATTGGGCTTTTATATTTATACTAGAGGCCTGGTGCACGAAAATGCTCCCGCCTGTACTCGCAGCCATCAGCCCGGCTTGTAGCTGAGCAGAGCTCCCCTGTGGGAGCACACTGACCATCCTGGGGCAGCTCCTGCACTGAGCATATGCCCCCTGGTGGTCAGTGCACATCATAGCAATTAGTTGTTCCAGGTTGTTCCATTGTTAGGGTCAATTTGCATATTACCCTTTTATTATATAGGATAGATAGCTAATGCCATTCAAAAGCCTTTTGGCCCTCAGTATTTACATTTTGAGAAGGTTACTAATGTAATTATAAATTTGGAAGTTGAAAAATTGATTATTAGAAAAAATATAACAGAAGTTATTATATCTGATGACAGTGGCAAGTAGGGTCACAGGCAACACACATTCCAACGTCAGAAGTTACTGTGTGTAAAGCTCTGTGCTGGGCCAATGTCCTATGGGTAGAGCTAAGGAGGAAAAGACTTTATCATGAGAAATGTCTCATTGGATAGTTGAGACATTTCTTCAAGAAATGAAATATTGCAGGTAAAGGTGTTCCTCTCTCCAGTTTTATTTATTATTCTCTCTCCCAAGAGACAATAGCTTCTATGAGTTAGAATGTGTCTAGACATGTTTTATGCTTTTAATACACACACACACACACACACACACACACACACACACCACGTATAGTTCTATTTTGTGCCGTTTGGCAAACTTTATGTAATTTGTATTATACTGAGCACGATGTTGTGCATCTTTCTTTTCTTCCTGTTCTCATTACATTTCCAAGATTCATCTATGTTGTTCTAGTTCAGGGGTCAGCGAACATTTTCTGTAAAGCGCCAGGCAGAAAATATTCTGGGTTTTGTGGGCCATATCAGGTCTCCATTACATATTCTTTTTTATTGTGGGCGTGGGTTCTTTTGTTCTTTATCACTCTTTAAAAGTGTGAAAAACATTCTTAGCTTAAAAAAAAAACACACAAGCACGCCATGGCCCACCAGCCACAGTTCACCCTGCACTGGTTCATTCATTTTAACTGCTAGAAAGTATTCTGTAGCCTGACTATGGTACAGACACATTAGGGTTATTTACAGTGTCCTGCTCTGACCAGCTCTTGCAGTAAACACTGGAATCTGTTTTCCAGGAGCTTCTGACGTGAGCTGTAGTGAGACTGCAAGCCCAGTACTGGGTTCCAGGAGACATTGGAATCCACATACAGCAGAGTCTGGATAGAGAAATAAAAATGCTGCATATGTGTCAAGCGTCTGTGTGTACTTGTGCACATGGTTTTCTCCTCCCCTTAAGTAAGATTCAGATCCAAATAGACTAGCATTAACTGAGCACCCTGATGTCCTATGGCTTTTCTCTCTGTTTACTTCATTGGCTTTGTGAATTTCTCCACTTTATAGATAAGAAAACTCAGAAAGGTCCCGTGTGAGTAAGCAGGGAGACCAGTGTTCACCATTAGAATGCCTCCCTCGTGGAAAAAGATAATAAAAACATTTCAGTTTATTATGATAGTGTAGATGGCTTTATTGCAGCTGAGAATTAATCTGAGAGATCTGCACTTCTCTCTTTGACATCCAGAAGATACAGGAAATAAAACTAATGACATTGAAAGTAATAAAAAATGTAAATGAAATTAATTTTACTGCCAATTTTGTTGTTTAAATTGCATGTTGATGACAGTGAGGGAATGCACCGTTCTCCCCTAAGACCCTCCCAAGGTCCTCAGCAAGCTGGCGCCTCCGTCAGGCTGTGTCTGTGGGTTATGTAGGGCTCTGTGTGGTGTGCACAGTCAACTTCAAGGAAGAAAACTGTCTTTTTTTTAAAAGATATTTTATTGATTTTGTACAGAGAGGAAAGGAGAGAGGTAAAGAGTTAGAAACATCGATGAGAGCGTGTCATCGATCAGCTGCCTCTTGCACACCCCCTACTGGGGATATGCCCGCAACCAAGGTATATGCCCTTGACTGGAATCGAACCCGGGACCTTTCAGTCCCCAAGCCGATGCTCTATCCATTGAGCCAAACCAGTCTCGGTGAAGAAAACTGTCTTAAAACCTTTTAAACATTGTCTTGGGCTTAATGAACTAGCAGTAGCAAGCATATAAAAAGACAGATGAGATGAACCATATTAACAAGGACCAAAATTAAATATCGGTGCCAGGGAAGGAGGGGGCATTGAATTATAACCTTAATCTAAGCCAAAAGTAAATAAATATATGCTTTTACTTCTAATGCTTTTCATTTTCATTTTTTAAATATATTTTTATTGATTTCAGAAAGGAAGAAAGAGGGAGAGAGAGATAAAAACATCAGTGATGAGAGAGAAACATTGATCGGCTGCCTCCTGCACATCTTCTACTGGGGATCAAGCCCACAACCCAGGCATGTGCCCTGACTGAGAATTAAACCAAAACCTTCTGGTTCATAGGTTGTTGCTCTACCACTGAACCACACCAGCCAGGCTCTAATTATTCACCCTTGAAGTGTACAGCTTGATGAACGTTAGTAACTACACAATTGTACACACCACAGGCAAAAAAGTTTCCTTGTGCCCCTTTGCTATCGATCTCCTTCCCTAATCCAGACCCTCGTTGATCTGCCTTCTCTAATTATAAGTCTTATCTTCTCTATAATTTTCTGTAATGGAATCACACCATCCATGTTGCTGAGTGTATCACTATTTTGTTTTTCTTTATTGTGAATGTGCTATGAGCAGCCACAGGAAACTCATATACCAATAGGTATCTAGCTCTTGTCCATGACCAAAAAGAATATTTAGGACAATCACCAATTTCTCATCTACCAAGTAACCTTGATAAAATAGCCAGGCGCTGGGCTGATTGCAAGAGATAGGGCTCGATGGTAGCAGAGGTCATAGCTGCTGCTGGTCTGAAGTGAGATGCTTGGCATCGAGCACTTTCGGAGGAGTCTGGCTTTTTAAGACATAAACCAGCAGAACTGTTCCTTCTCTCTTCAAATGCTATGCTTAAGAAATAAAATGTCCCGAGGTAGTGCAATGTCTATCAATGCGTTTATTACAGCCTATCAGTCATGTATCTAGCATTCAGCTAACATGTTTTGAACCGAGTTGCCATATTCCTTGACTTAAACTCTGCATCTTTGCCATTCAGGTCTGTGAGAACTCCTGACATCTGACGCTTGACTACCAAGTTTCCATAGCAACAGGAAAAAAAATCCAAATCGGAAGATTGCCGTTTACAGCTTTCGAACTTCACAACTAGGCCTCAATTGCTCCAGATTTTCCTTTTCTTTGCCATTTCACTTAGTCTGTACTTCACCATTTTGACAGCATCTTCCTTTCTCCTTTGATTAATGGGATTCTCTGAATTCCCCTTGAGTGTTGAAAGATCATGGCATATCACGTGCCCTCCGGGAGCAGGAACAATGACTACTTTTTCTGATGCGTTGCCACATTGCTAGTCAGCAGTCCACACCTCCAGCTGTGTCTGTGGGTTAGTATCTGTATATGTAGGAGTATCTGTATGTGTACATACCAGTATTTATAGAGCGAGATGAGATAGGACAACCCAGTTTTGATGTGTCATTCTCCCTTGAGAGGCTAAATAAAGAGGGATAGAGGCCGGCAGCTGACCCCCCAGGACCCCAGCAGCAAGCTGGGCACAAGCACAGACCGGAGCTGATGCTCCCCCACCATCCCATTCTGTCTGGATGCTGCCACGACCAGCAGGCAGATGTGCAGAGAGGGAGAGATAGACAGAGTCCTCTCTCTTCACCTGAGGGCTACACCCAGTTTTCACTGCCATCTTATGCCGCGATCCTGAGCTGAAGTGGTGAGGCGCAGAGCAGGAAATGTTACCATCAAATGCCATGCAAAGGGCTGAAATATTCGTCCCAGGCACCTGTCTGCATTTGTATGTGTCCTAAACCCACAGTCCCCCTCTGGACTTAGTTCTTATGGGGACACAGATCATGGCAGAGAACCCTCCCTCCTCTGTACATGTACAATTCCAAGTGTCATCCTGGAGGTCACACATGCATATGAAGAGGCTGATAGATACCGCGTGTATACATATATACGCCCACATGTATAGACATACACTTACGCACATACACACCGTTTGTTTCATATACACGCATTAAAATAGAGTAAATACAGGTAGTTTTAAAAGTACCCTTTTGTGTGAATCGACTACAGTTGTTTGCAAACCTAAAAAAAATAAAAAAGACGTTCATTATGTTTGAAAAGTAATTGATTTTTATTCTGTGAGCATGTCAGCGTAAGAGGAAAGTTAGTGCTTGTACTAAGATTATCTTCTTGTCGATAAACTGTAAATGAACCATCAAAGCTCACACCAAATTTTTCTATCAGATAAAACTAGTGACAGCCTGTGGCTTTTTACTAGAGCTCGCCACCAACTAGGGTAAGTGTCTTAGCACATTTTAATGCAGTTGCTTACTACAGGTTTTAACCACACACGCACACACGCTTTCTTATGCCGTCTCTGTTGGCATCTGTGCTTTTCCGTTCGCCTTCTGTAGGAAGTAGAAGTCATATGTTATCTTTATTGTAGTGAGATTATACAGATAGAGTTCCATATATTGTATTTGTTTCAACAGTAAATCTTTTGGAGCATATAGAATGCAGAGATTTTTTTCTCCATTGAAATAAATGGGTATTGGTGGTTAAAACTGCTGGACAGTAGTTTTTCTCTGGTTTCTATGTTGTGTCTACTTAATGTCACTGATGCTGAGTCTTGTCTTAGTGCAAGTTCACGTTTGGGGCCTTTTGGGCTTCCTCGTAAGCTGAGTGAGTCCATGAAGCCACAATCACCCCTCACAGCTCAGGCCACCCCTCATTTTACTCCCCATAATAAGTGATGTGAGCATTTCACAATCCACTGTGAAGATGATTGCGCATACTTACGGAAGAGCAAGATCACCTTCAACTTGATGATGCGTGACACACAGTCACAAACATCTGCCTACAGTCCCAGGATGTGGGTGTTTTTCCTCTGGAACAGTTCCTGTTGCTCAATCAGGAGATGCCACGCCCCGATTATGACCTATCAGTTCGCCACGAGTGCACCTGCAGGCTCAGGGTGAGGGATGTACATTCACACTTGATGGGACTTCCTCTTCTGGCTTAGAGGGCACAGTCTCTTCCTCCCTGTTGGACTCACTCCCCTCTTCCCTGGAGGCAGAGGGAGAATGGTCACCCGGAACAAACTGAGGACCATCCTCAGATGGCCAGATGCTTGGCAGCCTGACCCTGAGGCTAACTGAGAATCCGAAAGCTCACCTCCTACATGAGCCTGGGCCGGCCCCAGGGAGAAATACCAAGGCCCAATGACCCACTCACTCAAGCAAGTAAGTGAGGCCTCCTCTTTTCTCTCAAGCCAGGAGGCTCTCCTGTATTTTGCAAATGGGTATTTTTCTCTTGAAAAGGAGAACTCAAGCCAGTGGCTTAACTGAGCTTAGAACAGGGAAAAATAGGAGTGAAGTGCATACTTCATTAACAAGTCCAATATACCCTAGTTGTCCTCTATTTAAGTACACTCCCTGTCCCCACAGTTCTTACCAGGACAGAGATATTTCTGTTATCTTTTTAATCCTTCTACACACACAAAAAAAAGACCAAGTCTTAGAAGCCAAAGTGTAGCATGTCCTAAATTATAGCATGTTTTTTAACTTGCTAGAATGCATTTACCTTGTTTACTGGAAGTAAAAGTATATTGCAGATATTATGTCATTATTATCAATGCATTTTATTGTAGCCCAAGTTATTGGAAAAAGAAAGTCAAGTAAAAGCCAGAAATTGCTTTTCCTGATGACTGAGCAAGAGATGAAGGCTTTGTTTCCATTGAGTGAACGGTCACTGCTTTTTAAACACATCAACCACCTTAGTTCATTAAAAATGACATTTCTCCCATTTTACATATGACAAATGATTTCATGTGTATGTTTTAACAAGAACATGCAAACATTTTACAATTTTGATAAAAGTTACCTCAGTGCTGCCAGCTCTCTCCATAGAAGACCATTTCAGGAGGATGTTACTGCATGACTCTCAGCCAACACCAGCAGATTTGATCGTCCTCACAAAATAAATCCAGCTACATTTCATGGTAGGTAGCAAATAGGACTTTGATTCTTAAAGAACATTTTTAGAGATTTTGATAACTTATCCCAGAATTTCAAAATGTCATTTGAAACCTTCTGTTCAGTGAACTACTTGAAGTAGATCAGATTGCATTTCATCCAAAATAAATGCATCGGGTCTCGATCTAAAGACCTGGCCACTAAAAAAGTATTAACCCGACTCTGTGGTGCTGGGTTTAGAGCAGCTGTACCAATACACAGACTATCCAGGTGACTTTGAGTCTACAGTTCTTCTGGCATGTACGAACAAGGTACCAAAATGCAGTTAATGGTGATGGTAATGATGATGATGATAGTTTACATTTATTAATTAATGTGCTTATTACTTTTATTTATTAATTGCTTGATATGTTGCCCACACTATGCAAAATCCTTTATACTTGTTAACTCATTGAATCTTTACAACAGCGTCTGAGGCAAGTGTTATTTCCTCGGCTCAGAGCAGGGTTGGCTCCCAGCAGGTGCAACTAGGCACAGGACGAATTGAAGTTCTCTGAGGCTCGGTGATGACCATTCCTTCTCTGCCCACACAAGGCAAACACAGAACTTCTCACCGCAGTATAGACACACGTGTACACGAAGGAAAGCAGGAGCGTGGAGAGAATGGCCCAGCTGAACCAAAGCACAATTAGGAAAGTACCACTTTAAGCTCATGTAAAACCAAGCCGTCTTGAAAGGGGAAAAGAGAATTACTTTACTTACACAATTAGTCTAGAAAGAGCTATTTAAAACATGCTAAGAGAAGATATGACACTTAAAGGTTTAATACGAGGGTTGTTCCAAACCAACGTTTGAAAGGTTAATTACTAGCGCCTCACACATAATACAGTAGTTTTGTTAATGGAACAATATTCAGTGAGGGCCCGGGTGTCAGCCCTACAAAGTAAGTATATCAGCTGTGACTATAAGTTAGTGAAGCTTCTGGGTACGGCAGCTGTTTAAACGACCTCGGTCTCCACACAGAGAGAGTCTGCGTCTTTCTAAGTGCCCAAAAGAGTACCCACTAAAAAACGTGTCAAGCTTGCCTGCTGTTTGTGTAAAGAAAAATTTTATTTGGATAAAAAGCCTTCAAGTCTCCTGCCAGAAACACACACACACACACACACACACACACACACACACACACACCCCTTCAGTCTTATTCTAGCCATAAGTCAGATGTGGCTAGAAATCGGGGTGTGGGTGTGGGTATCCAGACTTCTATGCTGGCTGTGATAGCCCCAGTATTTGGGGTCCAATATGAAAAGGCCTGAAATCCCGCCCAGTATTGACTACTCACTAGCTAAATGACTTTGGAACTTTATGTCAACACTTTATAAAACACCAAGTATGAAACAAATTTAAAGTGGTATGACTTTACCAAATAGTTGAATTGTGTGTCCCCCCGCACCCCTCCCCCCACAAAAAAAAGACATGTTGAAGTCCTAATCCCCAGAACTTCAGAAGGTGGCCTTCTTTGGACACAGGATCTTTGCAGATAGAATTAGTTTAGACAAGGTCATATGCAGAGGAGTAGGCCCCTATTCCATAAGAAGAAGAGAGAAACACACACACAAGTTGAAGGCCTTGGGAAGACAGAAGTGAAGATTGGAGTGATACAAACTGAGGAACATCTACAAGCTATGGAACATCTACAATGCTAAAGAACATCAAGAATTACCAGCAGTTTGCCGAAACCGGTTTGGCTCAGTGGTAAAGCATCGGTCTGCGAACTGAAAGGTCCCAGGTTCGATTCCGGTCAAGGGCATGTACATTGGTTGCAGGCACATCCCCAGTAGGGTGTGTGCAAGAGGCAGCTGGTCAATGTTTCTCTCTCATCGATGTTTCTAGCTCTCTATCCCTCTCTCCTCCTCTCTGTAAAAAATCAATAAAATGTATTTAAAAAAAAAAAAAAAAAGAATTACCAGCAGTTAACCAGAAATTGAGATAGAGGCACAGAACAGATTCTCAGGAGGAACTAACCTGAGAATCTAAACCTCAAAAGGAACTAACCCAGCT